CACACACACACACACACACACACACACACACACACACACATGCACAGCCCTTTTAAGATAGCAATTTTATGCTGGGCCATATTTATAGCTATGCAGGGAGTGTAGCCTGAGAGCCACAGGAGACCTTCATTAATAAGCCAACAGAAAGAGCTTTACAAGCCAGATCTCTGTGCCATGAACAACAGAAACACTCCTGGCATCTTTGATGTTGCCTTAAGATAAACCAAGTACATTCTGACTTGAGTGAGGTCACGCTGGTCCTGACCACTATCGAAGTCTCCTAACCCAAAAAGGGCAACTCTATATTCATATTGCTACCTAGGACCACACACCTGCCATCGAGTCCCTAACGAATGGCACTCAGTGCAGTCTGAATTGTGCCTGCTACTGTTTCCCGTCTCACGCCGTCTTGGGGCTAATTCTTATGAACTGGAATGAAGTTCTAGAACAAAGGCGCCCATCCCATTTATGGGGGTTTCACCCTCACGACTAAACCATCTTGTCCATGGCCCCTACCTCTTAATGCCAGAATTGTGATTAGATTTCGAAGCATGAAGTTTGGGGGCATACATCCAGACCATAGCAACCCTAGATGAGGAAGATGACTGAATCCCAGAGCTTGGTGTGACAGAACCTGAGAGTCACTGCTCTCTGCACTTTACCGAAACTTCATTAAAGTTACATTAATCCATTAACTTTTCTTCAGCTAGAAATCTGCAGACACTTTTGTAAACTAATATATTAAGTGCTAAAACTTTTCATTAGAGCTTAGTAGGGCATCATTATCCAATGCATTATGGTGCCAGGATTTCCACACATGTCATTTCACTTTGCCTTCATAATGACCCAGCTTTTCAGAACTTGAGGGTCAGGGAAACTTGCCCAACATCACATGGTTTGAAAGTGGAAGACTCAGACTCATTTGTTTCTCTGCAAGCGGGGGTTGGAATCCCACAAAAGTAGAAGAAAAAGGGCAAATGTCAAATAAATGAAATCTTTGGGAGCTATTGCAAAACAGTTGGGACAAAATTCATAGTTTGATACAAGTTGTAACCGGCACATTAAATAAAAATCAGAACTGCCTCTTGTCGTTTTAAAGTTTACAAAGGCTTGGTCCGAATCAGTGTTCTTCCTCGGCTGTTTCCTTGCCTTGCTGCACCGATCAGGAACAGTGAGGTAGGTGAGATGTTTGGCCAGTAAAGAAAGCTTTTTCCAAGCCTGAATTGATCCCTGGAACTCACATGGTGTAAAGAACCGACTCCTGCAAGTTGTCCTTTGCCACCCGCAGGCTGGCCATGGCTTGGTATTTGCACACACACACACACACACACACACACACACACACACACACACACACGCACGCACACACACGCACGCGTCAAAGTAAAAAGTGATCTGACTCCAAGGACAAGCACCATCCCAGGTCCTCTACAATGCACTTTGGTCCTTCCTCTCACTGTATTCTATTTTTAGCACTAATTCCACTAATTCAGGGAGCTGAAACACCGGTGGCATTATGATCCTCGCTTCTAAATACCAAGTATTAGACTTCCAAGTATCTTCCCAAGGCATCTTTTCACCCACTCTGTTCTCTCTCATCAAAGCCCCAGGGCACCGAGGCCTTCAAAGACCTGATGGCTCAAGGATGCATTGTGAAGTGGCGAGAGCGTCACAGGCTACGTGGATCCAAGGATCTGAGAGTGGGGTGGGTTTCTCAGTGGCCCCCAGGAGGTCTCCCGACCTTCCTGTAGACTCTGGGCCCGCCGGGAAGAGAGCATGGCCGGCTTCCACCTCTTCTCACGGCCCTATGGGGAGCTTGGGGAGCCCTTGCCCGGTGGAGAGCCGGAATTCGCGGCACCGCTGGGCTGGCCTGAGCCATCCCTGAGCCCCTGGGCCCGGACTCCCGGCGCGGAAATCGAGACCGAGGTGCCCTGGGGGCACCAGAAATGTTCATCCGCCGCGCGGTCCCGCCGGCGTGGTTCTATGTCCTTGCCACGAGAAAGCCACAGCCTGACACACGTGGCCCGGAGACCGGCGGACCGCGCCAGGAAGCACCGGTCCGGCAGTAGGCAACTGGACGAAGCCTGCGGAGAGGCACCCACCAAGTCCAGCAGGACCTGGCAGCAGCAGCAGCCGCCGCCGCCGGAAACGCCCTCCCCCGCCCTCCCCCGGGGGAGCTTTCAGCCCCCAGAGTGCTGGGACTTTGCCTTTGGAAAAGACACACAACGGAGACCGGTGGGCAGTGCCGGTGTACAGACATGTAGGTCTCTGGTCCCCTTCGTCGGTTCTCACCGACAAGTCTTCCGGGCACTCCCTCGAGTTTGAGTTCCGGAAGCAATCCACCCAGAAGAGGGGTAGTGGCGACCGGACTGAGTCCTTAGCCAACCAGTACTCCCAGCCCTCCACCTCCTGCAAAGAGACGAGTAGCCAGCAGGCTCAGGTCCTCAAGAGCAAGCTGGACGAAGCAGAGATATCCTCCAGGGACCAGAAGATCTTGGCCCTGGTACTGAGCCGGCTCAAGAAGGCCCAGAAGATGCGAGAGCTGCAGCAACAGGCAGCAGTCGCCTGGGAAGAGCTGAAGCGCTCAGACAAGAAAGTCCACATGACCCTGGAGAGAGAGCGCAGGCTGCTGCTGCAGCAGAGCCAGGAGCAGTGGCAAGGACAGAAGGAACAGCACAAGTCACGGAGGGACCATGAGCAGCTTCGCCAGGGCTACGAGCAACAGGGCGAGCGGCGGGACCGCCAGGAGAAGAGCACCATCCAGGCCCAGGCGGAGAGCCAGAGTCGGTGGCCCGAGCAACCTGACAACCCAGAGAACGGAGACCTGGACAAGCTAGACAGGGTTCACGCCCAGGCTGAACACCTCAAACAGTGCCAGATGCAGCGTCTGCAGGAGCAGGAGAGGGTGCTGCAGAGTCTGCGGGACCTGAACAGGCTGCAGATGCAGAAGAAGCTGGAGGTGACCTGTCACAAGAGGCAGCAGCACCTGCCGGAGGAGAGTCAGAAGAAGGTCCCGGAGAACAACCTGAGCTCCTCCATCATCAACTTCCAGGCCCGCAAGGTTCTCATGGACTGTCAGGCCAAGGCGGAGGAGCTCCTCAGGAAGCTGTCGCTCGAGCAGAGCTCCCAGAGCTCCCAGGACGTCCAAGAAGATCTGGCTAAGGAGAGGCATCGAGAACAGCAGGGAAAGGCCCAGAAGGAGGCAGAGCAGTTCCAGCGAGTGAGGTGGCGAACAGAGGAGGCAGAGGAACGGCGGCGCCAAGAGCGCCAGCGGGTCCTGGCGGAGCTGGCTGAGCAGAAGATCAGGCAGGCCAGGTGTCATGAGCACAAGACCAGCAAGGACAGGGTGCAGCACCTGCAGGAGCTGAGCGTCCTACGGGAGAGGAACAACCACATCTTGAAGCTGAAAGCAGAGAAGGAGGAGAAGTGTCACATTGAGGGCATCAAGGAAGCCATTAAGAAGAAGGAACAAAGGGTGGAGCAGATGACCCGATGGAAAGATCCCATCTTCCAGGAGTTCCAGAAGGTTCCCTCGGCCTCCAAGACAGACCGCTGCTTTGACTATGTGGCAGCAGAGACACAGCTGCCTGCGCACCATCTGAGTGGAATCTATTGAGAACCCAGGAGGAACACAGCACACGCCGGCAGCGACAGAGGTCATCTCATCGTCATCATGCGATTCGGCTTTATAATCTGATTTTAACCGACCATTGATTTTTTAAAAAAATAGATAAAATAGCTGCAATTTCCTCCCATGAATTAGTACATCGATTCACTTTGATGATGCGGATGGGGTTGGGGAGGAAAAGTGGGGGGCAGGTATGAAAATTGGTTGGCTTTTGAGTTTTGAGGTGAAACAAAAAACATTCATTTGCCTTTCAAAGAGTCTAGAAACATACATGAGGCAGGAGTTAGAGGAGTCAGAAAATGTACAATTGGCCTGGGGGGAGGGCAGAAAGGTGGAGGTGCACACCTTTAATCCCAGCACTCAGGAGGCAGAGGCACAGGAAGAAGGCAAATCTCTGCGAGTTTGAGGCCAGTCTGGTCTAAAGAGTGAGCTCCAGGGCAGCCAAGGACTCCACAGAGAAACCCTGTCTCAAAATACATACATGCATACATACATGCATACATACATACATACTACAATTGGAAATATTGTTTTATGATACAACTTGGTAACTCTTGTGCCAAACTACAGTGAGAAAGGTGAAATTCGTAGTGTGAGGCCTGAGAAGTCTCCAGGGTAAAAAGCAAAGGTGGGCTAGGAGACTTTCCAAGCAACTAGATTTGGGAGTCTTGTATATTCCAATCCTTTCGTGATGCACCCTTAAATTTAAAAGTCTGCAGTGTAGACACTCACTTAACCTAACCTGGTGTTAGTGAGAAACCTCAACCCCACCTCTCTTTTTCTTTTTCCTTTCCCAGATCATTCCATGGAATTGATGTTCAGTGATGAATTGTGTGTGTGTGTGTGTGTGTGTGTGTGTGTGTGTGTGTGTGTGTGTGTGTGTGTGCGCGCGCGCGGGTGCGTGTGGGGGTGGGTGG